GTTTCTTTATAAGACAATAAATATGTTTAAATGGTCTCTTTGGCATGTAGAAATATAAAACCTTGTTTTCTTTGGGAGGTTTTTTCTAAGTATGTTATGTCTTCTTTACCTCGAGCTCTTCGAAAGCAAATTGTCCCACCCACCGCAGCTCTGTTGAAGGAAAACTTTTGAACCCTATGACTCCAGCCCCTTTCACCCAGTGGGCATTTGTCCCAAGAATAGTCAAACCATAGGTTGGTGAGTGGCCTGAGAGAAGGTTCTGCCCAAACAGGAGCTGGCAATGCCACCCAGAGTCTTATTCTTAAGAATGTGGATTGGCAAATGTGGAGCGACACAAGAGAGTTAGCAGTAGAAACAGGCACTGAAAGATGCAGAGAGGGAAGAAACGGGAGGGAGGAAGGGAGAGAGGGAGATTGAGATTGACCAGCAGGTAGAATTGGGGACCAGGAGGAATTATGAGCAGGTTGAGTTTATGAGAAATTGAACCTAGAAATAAGCAGAAGCAAAGAACTGGTGGAAAAAATTAGAATAGAGGGTACAGAAGCCAACTGGTAGCCATCTGGAAGAAAATGCAAGACAGTCCCCCAAGAGAAGCAAAGAAAGGAAGGATGTAGCCAGGTCATGTCATGAGTGGAGTATCAGGGTGAAGACCCAGGGTGTCTTGTGGCTGTGGTCTCTCGAGCTGCTGGCTTCCATATCCTGTCTGAATAGGTCCAGTCTTTTAATTCCCATGGGATTTCTGCCTCCCTTGGTGGACCTTGCGAAAGCCCTCACTATTTGTGCTACCCCTTACTGCATCTCTTGCAAACAAAGGAAGCTAACCATAATAGAGTTTTGGTTACAGGAATGACGTCTCAGGTCAAGAATGTGTGTCTCATGACACACATAGGAAATGATAATATTTGCACAGCATGCTGATGTCCATGAAGGAACCTGCTCATGGCCAGGGATAATACTGCCCTAAGAACCTTAGCCTCCCCCAAAACTGATGGGATTATCACCTCCGGCAGACCTATAATCCATTCCTGGCACACATATTGGGAAGCTCTGTTTTGGGCTACTGGTCTACTGTGTAATAGGTTAATACTTCTGTAGAGAGAGTGGTATTCAGAAGAATTAACACACAAAACTCCCTTATCCATTTCAGTGTTCCACCAATTTTACATATACTTTGACTGAAATAATATTTTCTTCTCCCACAGTTACCCAGAAGTAAAATTCCGGTAGAATGATAATAGTCTATTATAAGGTAGAGGTTGTCATCTCCACCCCTCACCCAGTACCACCATTGTAAAGGGGATGGCATCCCTTTCTTGCAAGTTGGAATGTCTTATACTGGGGATAACAGACAGACTTAATTATTTTATCTCTGCCAACCTCAGTGGACTGGTAGTGATTGCCTGGAGCATGGAGGTTGCAAGTAGGTAGGCTGGAGATCTGACAGTCCTTGTTCCTTGGAGGGCACTCAGTAAGAAGCTGATAGATGTTTTGTAATAACCTTTGCGCAAAGGGAACATTTTAGGGCCATTCCAGGCAACGCAAGCCTGGAATAATTCATTTTCGGAATTGCTTTGTCTTCGTAGACAATTTATTACTTAAATCTTGTATTGTTCCCAGTTTGAGAAAAAGAATCATTTACCCCAGGTGTTTCTTTGTAGATAGGGCTTTGCCTTTTGCAGAAATCTAGAATAGCCAATAACAGTGATAGTTAGAATAATAGCATACACTTATTGAGGGCTTACTATATTAAGCATTGTTCAGTATCATCTCAGTTAATCTGTATAGCAACCTTTGAGGAAGGGACTATTACTATTCCCATGTGATAGATGAGAAAATGGAGGCATTAGCTAGAAGAAAGTGGTAAAGCCAAGAGTTAAACTAGACAGACTTTTAGCTCCTCCACTCCACTGCTAGGACCATGTGCTGTCTGTAATCCTGTTTGCTTCTGTTTCACGGATCTGAACTTTAAAATAAAGGACTGTTACACTTGTCCCGAGCCCAGTATAAACGCTACTTTGTGACGGCGGTGTTCCGTAAAAGCATATCAGTTCTAACGGAGCTCGGTTTAATGGTCTCAGGATCATCCTTTACAGTTGACAAGTGACAACATTTAGGAAAACAAATGCACTTTATTTTCGGGAAATTGCTAGATATGGAGATGATGAGAACAGATCTAAGGGGTTTACAAGTCCTCAGAAGGGATGGGGTTGGTGTGTCTGTTTTGTTGCCTTTTGCTTTGTATGTTTACCAGAGAAACAATAAGGCTCCATTTAGAAACAGTCTGTAGTTGCTGGAAGGGCCTTTGTGTGGGGTTAGAAATCTTGACAGAACTCCACCACCTTTGTTCTTGTTCACACTCGTGTGATGGCAGGGCCTCCTAGGGACTATTCTGTGAGCCTAGGGCTCTGGGCTTGAATCAGAGTGGCTCTTTCATCAGTGATCATTTTGGTTCAGAAAGATTCAAGGGACAGAACGATTATGGTCTAAATTAGCTCTCTCCCTAGGGGGAAAAAAAATGAGTCGTTAGGGAGTTTGATACTGGCAGAGACTTGCCAAGAAGCATATTATCTCGCTGTTCTTTGTTTCTTTTTTTCTTTTTTTTTCCTCTTTCAAGTGTTGCCAAAAATTAAATTATCCCCAGTAAACAAACAAATCGAGGTCCTCAGAGCTTCCCAATCAAAATCACAAGATTGCAGTTGTTTAAATGCAAATTCAAGGATTCTGCATATGGTCCCATCAGTAATTTAAGAACGATGTCTGTCTCATTTTTTGAAAATAAATTTTATAATAATTTGCCTTTTGTTTTTAGATATTTACACTACTTTTTATATCTTATCTATATATCCAATGAAAAATGGTGATTGTATATTCAGAAAATGGAAATGTATACATTTACTAAATGCCTACTAGGTGTGTAGGTGCAGTCACATATGACACCTCATCAATTTCTCATAACCCACCAGGAAGAAATTCCTATCTCCATCTTATAGATGAGGATATTCAGGCTCAGAGAGGTTATGCAACTTACCTAAGATTACCCAGCAGCTGGTAAGTGGTGGAGTCTGGATTTTAAACCAGATTTCGTCTGTCAAACTCCAGAGTCACTCTGAAGTATATCCACTGTGGCATTCACCTCCTATAGGATGTTATAAGATTTCATTACTCAGCAGACAGTGCATATTCACTGTCCCTTGGCACTGGGTATACCTAAAAAATGAGGTGTGATCTCTGCTTTCAGAAGTTGGTCATTATAATACTAGGTGTTAAGTCCGATTTATAAAGAGACAGTGAGGGTCCATGCAGCCAACTTCCTGAGGCAAAAAGTAAAAGCAGAAAAGCTTTTACCCAAGAATAGATATTGGAACCAAGTCTTAAATTTGCCAGGCAAATAAATGGAGTTGGGGGGGGGGGTATGAATAACATTCTGAACTGAGAACAGTGTGAGCAAAACTCTGAAAAGGAATGCTTAGACATTACATGTGCTAGGGACATAGAATGTGTCCTAGTTTCCTAGGGGGTGCTGTAACAATATACCACAAACTGGGTGGCTTAAAACCCCAAGTTATCCTTTCACAGTTCTGGAGACTAGATGTCCGAAATCAAGGTGTCAACAGTGTTGGTTTCTTTGGGAGACCCTGTGTGGGAATCTGTCCCATGTGTCTCTCTCAGATTCTTGTGCTGGCCAGTGAACCTTGGCATTCCTTGGCTTGGAGAGAACATGGCTCCAATCTCTGCCCCCCATCTTCACCTGCATTCTCCCCGTGTCTCTGTTGTCTTCACATGGCGGTCTTCTTACATAAGGACACTAATCATATTAGATTAAGGGCCCACCTTACTCCAGTATGAACTCAACTAGT